TAAATTCTGAAAACCAATTGAATATCGGTGGGAATTGAAACCAAAGCACCTCATCTTTTAATAAAGTTCCAAGCCATGTGTTTCCTTTTATTGAACTCACATTATGAAGAGCAAGTTGTCTTAAAAATGAAATTCAACTAACCATTCCCACATTTCTCAAGACTTACTATAAAGCCCATGTCAGGTATGTGAAAGTGTAAAACATCTAAAGATCAGAGCCAAAAATAGGCAAATTTCAGTTTTTCCTCTATGTGTAAGAGAAATTAATCTGATAGAACCCAAGTTAATGCAAGAACTAAATGAAAAAGTGTATGTAAACAGATGAAGAAATTAATTCTTGTATGCCTTTGCTGAATAAATTGATGGAAGATAAAAGAAATAATAAGGTGTTAGACATTCCGAGGCCCAATTCTCTTCTAAATCTCACACGCAAAAACTAAATCCCCCATTCCAACCCCATCCCCACCCCCACCACCCACCATTTTTATTTGGCGCATCCATTTTATTCCAGAAGTTTCACAATTAACATACAGTATGCATAGAGCAAGCATCCCCAAAAACATCCTCAGCAGAAGTCTCGTATTTATGTACAACAAGAATATAGATTGATGGGCAATAAAAATGTTCTCACCACAAAGAGGAGAAAGAACTTGTAGTTGTGAGCCCCAGCACAATTCACAACCCATATGCCGTGGTGATCCATTTGAAAACACTTCGTTGACATGCAAAAAGAAACATGCTTATAGTTTTAGCAGATAATCATCATCTTTAAGATGTTGGACAAGCAGAGAGCTTGATAATGCACCAAAAATTTGAGCCAAATAAAAAGTCACAATTTTTTAAAATAAAATGTCAGAGAACAATGACTTCTTTGTCTCCATTAATTTTATTCATTGTCTCAATGTAATGGAGATCATAATTAAATTGTAATATATGTCCACCATTCATGTCAATCCTATACTTTGTAAGGGCCACTGAACATTTTTTGCTGATGGAGAAGACACCTATTACTTGATCATATCCACACTTCTCATTCATAGAATTCATATGAACTCAAGTTCTATATGCCATCGAGCAATTTTATATGCATCCCCAAATTTTCAGCTTTTAATGTGACAAGTGGAAAACTATATACAAAAGAAAAACATCTAAAATATCATTGTATTTTAACTTTTTTGCCAACAAGTAACACGTTCAAGCTTGGTGTGTACTGAATATCATACCAGGAACATCAAATTAAACAAGATAATAATTTTATAAAGTAGTTGAACATCTTTTTAATCTGAGCCATTTAACGATACATCAGATTCTGTAATATTCAAAATATAAAACGAATTCCTAATTATGAAGTTATACAATGACAATTGGGTACTTACTTGAGTCAATTCTAAAATCTACAGAGATTTGCGAATTAATTAACTAATTTAATTTCCAATTCCAAAATGGTGGAATGGCAAGAGAGATAAATTCAGACTGAAATTTACCAGAACCAGTTCAGACACTTGGAAACGAGGTTATCGCCAGCGATGATGAATGCCAAGAACGCCTTTTTCCTTGTGAGCTCATCCATGAAAATTGAAGTAAAATTTGAGCCCATTATGAATCATAATAAGCCAAGATTTTTCCATTAAACTCTTGGAGTCTATCCCCTACCCTCACCCCACCCCATCCCACATCAACAAAAAATACAGAAAAAAGTAGAAAAGAGAAGAAGAAGAAGAAGAAGAAGAAGAATGGGGTAGCGTACGTACCTTGTATAATCAAATGGGCACCAAATTCTCGAGAAGCCGCAGAGTGAGAGCTGGCTTGGAAAAATGGGAAGTGAAAGCTCGTGAGTGTGCAAAGAGAATTTGTTGGCAAATCTGGGTTAAAGTCTGATCGTTAGTTTGAGTAAAATAGTTGTCCGCTGTAGTGGGTTTCAATTTTGGGACGACGATTTGAGCTTGTTGCAGCGATCTGGAGAGAATGGGCATGGAGGAGGAAGTGATTACTTTTTGGACTATGAAATAGAGGAATGGGTGCGAAGGTAAAACGAAGCTTGGAAGTGGCGACAGAGTGAGTGGAAAGAGAATGAGTGGAAAGGGAAGACTCTAGAAAAGGAAGAATGGCTAATTTCCAAATAGCTAAAGAGCCGGCTCAAGCGAGAAGACAACCTGCTTGTTGCTTGTGAACAGTAGAAATAAATCTACCTCTTTTAAATGTAGTTAGATACAAACACAGTGCAATGTAGAATTTTTAAGCTTTTCTTTTCATGGACACCAACAGCACAGTTGTTTTAGAAAATGCACTGATTTCCACTCTTTGCAACTCAGTCCAAGCACTGGGCCGTGGCTTTGACGTCACCTCTGAGGGGCTCCTGGTTCACGTTTGGTGCATATTAATGAAGAGGATACAAAGAAACTTGAGTTGTCTGAATCTCATGTGATGCCTAATGTTTCTGTTGATATTGAGTGCTCCAAAGGCCAAATTTCCAATGACATCACCCCAATTTGGAGTTTCCACCAGGTCAGTTTCTATGTTAAGTTTTGGTCCTTTTCTTATAATTTTTTCGCTCAATAGCTGATTTTTTAATATGGGTTCTTTTCTTAGTTTGTTATTAGTTTTGATTTTGGTGGTGGGTTGTTAATTGTTCTTGGTTGGATATGGAATCATGGACATGTTTTGGTGGTTAAATTACTGTTTTTTGGCTATTAGGATTCTGTAAAACTCATGATTCTTTTTTGGAGGTGGGTAGGTTACTTTGAGTCTAGCGAAGGAACAGACTTTTTGATAAGTCAATCTTTCCTACTTATTTAAGCTGATCAATCTTTCCTACTTATTTAAGCTGATTAGAATTCAGGGACTCATTTTTCTGATGATTGACCATGACATGTGAAAATTAAAATTCCCCTAGTTTTGATTATGTGCGACTCATTTAATGAATTTTCTTTCCAAGCCAGCAAATATCTGAAACTTGATTCACATTGATATTATGTGGACGATGTTATGCTTTTAAGTCCAGCAAGGTTTGTTTTTTATGCCTAAACTGTTGTGGTCTAAGGTTTAAACCTTGGGTTTGGGAGGAAGAGACGAACCTTTCTTTCTGAAAGCAGCCTCTGCCAAATCTTCCTACATTCTTCTAAAGTGGTCATCAAAGCAGTGCAAAAATTTTCAATTTTGTGCTAATAAAACCAAGGTAGGAATGTAGGAGGGTCGGGTTGGGGTTGGGGATGACATAAATCTTCCATTGAGTAAGGGTTTTAGAACCTCATGGATTTTTTCAGTTCCTTACTTGCATTCGTGTTGATGGTACTCTCAATTCCAATGGGAAATGTTGGTTCAGTATTTTTTTAGCTTTTTGATGATAATTAGACGAGTGAATTTTAATGCTTTTCTCATAATTGAAACTGAAAATTCTAAATATTTAGTTGAAGTTCTTTGCATTTATAAGCTAACCATAGAACATATATTAGAACTTGATGCAGGAGCATCCGAGTCAGACGAAGTTGTGTTGTCCGATAGCTCGTTGATGACGCTGAAATACCATGAGTTAGCGGATCAAAGTAAAATGGCAAGTAATCGACGATATTTCCTAATTGGGGCCTTTTTTGACACGTTTTAATATTTTGGCCATAACTTTGACTATGGTTATCAGAATCCCGCTCATGGCCCCAGTTCAGAAAGCTCTTTTCAGTGCGCACGTCATAGTCTGGGTGCGCATCGATTTCGAGGGCAAAATCTGCTGTTTTTCCTTTCGAATCCCAAATTTTAGTTATTTTTTCCCTTTTTTGGTAATATTTCGTTTTGTCTTTTAAACATAGATTGCGAACTCGAATTAAGTTTGGGATATTGTTTCTTTTATTACGTATTTTCTTTTAGTTTGCTTTTTTAACATAAATTTTGAATTCGAATTGAACCGGATGTTTGAGATATTATTTCTCTTATTACATATTTTCTTTTGGTATGAATATTGAGAGTTTGCTATTTTTGGTAAAATTTCGATAATTATGATTTTTCAACTATATAACTCGGCTTGTGAGTTATTTTCGGATGTTGGATGAATAATAAAGAATTTTCTTGTTTTCTTGGTCTTTTCTCTTGCGTTCTTTTCTGTTAATTATCTGCCGAATTTCAGCCTGCAGAATAATCGCTATTCTGCCTAGCGTCGGAACTTGTATTGAAAACTGACTAGCAGCTTCCCAAGCATTTTGGATTAAGCCTGTAACAACTTAGGCCTTGTGCCTAAGTCGTTCCCTTACATAGTATCCGTGTTGGAAGGACATATGCCCTCTACATCCAACATGCAGTGAGTGCAGATGCAAAGAGTGCGTTGTTTGTGAGGTGCTGGTTGCAATAATTGCTTCATTTGCACGGGAGTGCGTTTTGTACCAAAGAGAGAGATACCATATTTTTTGGCTTTTGCGTCTTCATTTACCACTATATATTACTCTTTCTATCCATCTGTCGCAATTGAAGTGTGGTCCTAGGATTTTTATAGAGGGGAATGTGACCCAAAATATACATGTATTATTCATGTGTTAAATATAATTACTAAGCCGGATTAAAATATAGATTTTAATTTAAATCAAAATCAACAATTAATTTTAACTATATATTATATGGGAAACACACATTTTTATCAACTTTTATCAAAATCTGTTAAAAATCTGATTTTACTCTTCACCAAATAAGGGCTAAAGCTCATTATTAGATACCTAAAGATGGGCCAATATTGTCACCTAGACACATTTTCATCCCAACAGGAGTAACAGCTTTGGCAATTTTTCTCATTCTCATTCTCATTATTCTCTTTTTTTCATGGTGGAAAGGCTATATAGGAGGCAGGATCTCAAGGGAACAAGGTGAACAAATAGACCTTTCTTAGTATTTAAGCAAGAATGTAAATTTTGAATTGTCGTATTTAATTTTATGGATAGTCTTACAGTAGTAATGCATCAGATGACAACTATGGAAGTTACTCTCAGATTTAGGATAAATAATTTTTTCGTGGTGATGTGACCATGGCCAAGCAATACATCAAAGAAAAACTAGAACGTAATCTCTTGTGAGGGTGCATAAATGGATATGCAAATCTCATATTTACAGTATAGAGAAAAAGAGAGATGGCGGAATTCTTAGCTATATAGCTTACAGTGAATTCCACATCTAAAAATTGCTCTTTTCCAGAACTAAGGGGATTAGATTTGTGGACTGGCTTTTTTACTTTTAAACAAATCAAAGCCACTACAAACAACTTTGATGCTGCAAATAAAATTGGGGAAGGTGGTTTTGGATCTGTCTACAAGGTATGCAGCAATATGAACTTCCAACTTTTCCCTCTTATACTTTGTCTATACCTCCGCACTTATATTTTTCTAACATTTCTATATGCGTCCATGTGTGTAATACAATAATGCTTCATTTGTAGGGTATACTCTTGGATGGTAGTGTAATTGTTGTCAAGCAGCTGTCTTCCAAATCAAAGCAAGGGAACCGTGAATTCATGAATGAAATAGGCATGATTTCTGGTTTACAGCATCCAAATCTCGTAAAATTGTATGGATGTTGCATTGAGGGAAGCCAGTTACTGCTGGTGTATGAATACATGGAGAACAATAGCCTTGCCCGCGCTTTATTTGGTAACTGAATTTTGTACCTGCATTATGCGTTCTTTATTTCAATAAATTAAAATCTAGTCTAATATACAAATTCAGTATTTATAATCTGATGCACACACTTAATTGTATCTTATTATCAAGTACAGGACCAGAGGAATGGCAAGTAAAAATGGACTGGCCAACCAGACAAAGAATTTGTATCGGTATAGCAAGAGGCTTGGCTTTTCTGCATGAAGAATCCACATTGAAAATTGTTCATAGAGACATAAAAACCAATAACATTCTTCTTGATAAAGACCTCAATCCAAAGATTTCCGATTTTGGTTTAGCCAAACTTGATGAAGATGATAACACCCACATCAGCACTAGAGTTGCTGGGACTATGTGAG